ACCAGTCAAACTCTTTGTGGATTCTAACAAGGATGTGGCGTTTAATCTTAGACAGGAGTTTGTCAGGTTAGTAACTTAATTTCTATATAATATAACAAGTCCTGTTGGTTCTCAATGTTCGTGATAAACTCGATAATTTCACAATGAAAAATATTTCTACAAATATTGCCATTAAAAAACGAATTGAGTTTCCACACGCAGTTTCGCTCGTCGTGCTATTTAAATTGTTCCAACCATCTAATATCATTTTAACAATCTCCTCTTGTTATGCCCTTAACTTGTGTCACTGAACACTACTTACAAGAATGGAACACGTACACATGACCCTTCCTCACGAGTCATCTATTTTATTTAATTGTTGTAAACCACAAAAATACTCTTAATCCTATTTTAATTTATTATGAATGTTAATTCATAATAAATTAAGACACGTAGACTAGAATTAACTAAAAGCACGGGTTACTGAAGTGAATATACTGAGAAAAGCTCTACTAATTTCGAACCACAGAGGGGTTCTTCCATATGAGCAGCGTGCGCGGTCGCGGCGATGTCGCGATGTCAAAGAACCCCTCTGTGGTTCGAAACTGGTAGAGTTTTTCTTAGTATATTCACTTGAGTAACTCGCGATTTTAATTAATAATAATATTAATTTATTAATTTATTTAGTATGTCTCAAGATAGTGATTATAAAAACATAGACTAGAACTTTGTGTCACGTTACATTCGACCTGACGCCTTACTCAACAAGTGTCATATTCCAGAATACGTCGCGAGCGCGAGTGTGACCGCGAGGCGATCCTGGCGGCGCTAGTGTGTCGCACGTTCCGCGACCGCGCCGTCATCTTCGTACAGACCAAGAAACAGGCCCACAGGCTACATGTCGCGCTCGGCCTGCTCGGGGTCAAGGTATATAAACAACATACATTATTATTATTACTGTCTAATATTACCATTCTCTACTATCGCATATTAATATTATATGCAAAAGGTTCAGGAGCTAACTCCATTCATAAGATGAAAAAAACAAGACAATTTTTTATTAGTTTTGTAATGAGTCCCATCTAATAGACAGAAGAGATGCTGGGTATATTTGGAGTCCAGAACCCAGAAAATCTTAGTGATGACATGTAAAAATTCTGAATATCGGCTAGCAATCCATTTAAATATTGGATTATTTGAGTTTTATAATTCCAAATATACAAACATCATTTGTCAACTTTTACATAGGTTTTAACTAATCAATCTCCACTTACTCCATTATAGATCTTATTTCTGATGTTTTGAGACCACTTTTGTATGAACAAATTTTAGTGATTTATATCAAGTGATTAAATACGATATATATTTATATATCTTTCTAGGTAGCAGAGCTCCACGGCGCACTAAACCAGCCTCAACGTCTGGACTCATTGAAACGGTTTAAGGAGGAGCAGGTCGACGTACTAGTCGCTACCGACGTGGCGGCGCGTGGGTTGGACATACCCGGCGTCAAGACTGTGCTCAACTTCACCCTGCCCGCCACGCTCGAACACTATATTCATAGGGTGAGTTGGAATTATTTTTTATGTTAATACCATATTTTGCTAACTTTTGAAGCGTTTTAATAGTTTATTATATAACAAATAATAACAAAAATTCGCAAGTTTTGAATAGATTGTGATGTTCCTTAATGGATAGGTACTTGCAAACTAGTCAAATTCAATACCATTTTTGATTGTAAAAAATGACAGTTTTCTATGAATTTTTCACGAGATTGTTTTATGACGTCACGTATTTTTAGCGTCAAACAGTACCTATACTTATTTGTTAAAAATTTGCTGGACAAATACTAAAATTGAATTGGTCATAAAATCAGTTAATGAAAATATGATTCATTTTAAATATAATATATAATACAATAAATGTATTGAACAGACATTTTTTGATTAAGGCAAGTACACAATTCTATAAAAGGAAAATCAAAGTGTGTTAACATTAAAAGTTTAAAATCGATAATTCATGATTTCATAAAAGCAGTCACAACTCCAAAACTATATTTCAATCCTTTTTTTTACAAAAACGACACTACTTTTGATCATCGCTAAAATAAAGAACATCCCTTTCTTCCCCCACAGGTAGGTAGAACAGCTCGCGCAGGTCGTGCCGGAGTGTCGGTGTCGCTGGCGGGGGAAGCAGAGCGCCAGCTTGTGAAGGCCATCGTGAAGCGCGCGCGACGACCTGTCAAGTCGCGGCAGATACCGCCTGACATCGTCGCCAAGTACAGGGACAGATTAGCTAGACTTGAGCCGGAGATAGGTGAGAATATTTTATTATACAAATTAACCATTTTATTTAATTTAAGATATAAATATTTCTACTTCTCGGCGAAATTGGAACTAAATATTTTTTTTGTACAACTAAAAATATATTTTAATTTAGGCAATAAAACTTAGGCAATAAAAATTGATTAGCCTTTTTTAGTAGCTTTGCTCGCGGTACTAGAGTAAAGAGTAGTGTATGTGTTATTCTAGACTAAATTCTATCTTTGTGCCAAATTTCGTCTAGATCCTTTCAATAGGCTCACCCCCTATTACGTGGGACTCATAACATAAATAGTGAAAAGTGGGTGTTACATTGTACAGTGGCATAATATACACCTCTGTCTACCACTTCGGGGATAAAAGGCGTGATGTTATGTTTTCCTTTCAGTACTTTTTTCATGAAACAATATGTCATGTACCAAACCTTCGCTATTTATAAAATGAGTTAGTAGAATTATTAATTTACCAATTTATCTTTCTTACCCAGCCGCAATCCTAGACGAGGAATACGCAGAGAAGCAAATGAATAAAATGGAGAAACAAACAGCTAAGTTAGAAGGAGCCATCAAGACGGAGGGAGAACAGATCGGACCTAAGATAGAGGTGCAGCGGCAGAGGGAGTGGTTCCAGACTCCTAAGGAGAAGAGGGAGGAGAAGGAGAGGCTCGCTCTTACTAAACATCCTGATAAAGGTGCGTGGGAAAGATTGGAATGTGAATTATATGGTTTTGTTGTTGATTCACAACTTAAATAACAAAATAAATGTCGCAAATGATGAAAAAAAGATTTTTTAAATTGTACGCATGTTTAGCAGTAGGTTCGCTTTTTGTATCAACGATACTAGTAAGACAACGTTACATTTACCCCTGTTCTCTTTTAGAAAATAAGGGAAACTTTATTTCATTATTTTAATTTAAAAACAAAAAAAGTACAGTCTAATTAATTGAGAACCTCCTCCTTTTTTTGAAGTCGGTTGAAAAAATCTTCATTTATGTAGGAAAATTCTAAATGAATTTCTAAAGGTAAAATATATTTCTGTATCAACAGATAAAAAGAAGGGCGGTAAAGGCAAGAAGCGCAAACACGAGGACGAGGACGATGACTCGGACGACGGCAGACGGAAGAAGAAGAAGCCGAACAAACACAAACCCAAGGACACGCCCGAGGAACGAGTCAACAGGGAGATGGAGAAGGTAACACTAGCTTACTATCTTACACGCTTTTATAGATACACAAAGATATGTTGGGATACCACCCAACATATCTTTGTATATACGGAGCCACGGAGGACTGCGGTTGCCGGGGCTCCAGCTCGAAGTGCAGGAGAAGGAACGGGGTAGTTTTTTAGTCAGTAAGAGTCTGACACTCCCTCCCGCCTCACACAAAATTCCGCGAGACTGACAGGATAAAATGTGCAGAACAAAAAGAAAAAAATTATGTGCTCTGAGTCTCTGAGTATTTTGATTTAGTAATAACTTTACAATGAAACAAAAGTTACGCAATGAAACAAAAGTTTAATTGGTTTTTTACTAAACAAAAGATTTATTTGCAAACAGGTCGCCCTCCTCCAATCAAGAATGGAGAAACGTAAGAAGAAACAGCGCAGGATACGTGCAGTCGACGACGATGACGACCGCCCACAGCATACACCTCGGAAATCTAATAAAATGAAGAAAAAACAAAGTAATTTCGCCAATGACCTCACAGACACATCAAGAACGGCAACTAAGAGACTTCGTTACGATGCTAATAAGGCCCAGAAGGACAGTAAAGGGCCTCCAAGAGGCAATAAAGGGCCTCAAAAAGGCAATAGAGGGCCTCAAAAGGCAAAAGGCCCGGGTAAAGGCAAGCCCAACGCCAAACCCAAGGCGTTTGGTAAACCCCAGGCTGCGAAGGGACGTAGGAAAAATAAATAAATGTGTTTTTATAATGTTTATTGTTGTTTTATTTATTTTTGACTCCGAATTTGTAATAAATCTGATCAATCTTTCTAGACAAGGATTTATACCGTATAAACAGATGCTGTGATCATAAGGTCATCCCATGGAGTCGATATCGTCAAAATACAAATAACAGTAACAGTCTCGCAGTCTGCGTTTCACAAGGCTCTGCGAGTCGCACACTCGAAGTCTGAAAGTACATGACTGTTGTATTAATATTTAAATTCACCGCCAAAAAAGATATAACTGTTTGTTCCAATAATCTATAAATTTCATTAAGTATTTTCCAAAATTGTTAATAAAGAATGAAGAAAATTAAATACTATGATCATTTTTACAACCGGTAGCGGTGTGCATAACTTAGGCGATTGTGTTAGTAGATTTTCTTACTACATAGTATGTATTACTTAAAAATTCAAATCAAAACAAGAAAACAGCTAGTATTATTATAATATTAATACTAAAAAAAATAAGTAGGGTATCATCAACGATTGTAATCTAACAAACAAGTTTATTTACAAAAACTACCATAATAAACAAAACAGAAATATCGGACGTGCGCGCGCAACGTCACGCACGTGACGTCATCGATCGTTACTTTCGACAACGCGCAGGTGGTATGAGTTTTAGACATAGACTTTGTAAACAGACCTGCGTCAATGGTCATACAGCCTTCCGTATTACATGGTACCTACAGCAAATATTTACAACAATGCTCGTAATTTATGCCTGACGTAAGTAGACTGAAATCGACCACAACAAACTATTGATTTATGACCGATAGCCACAAGAAATATGAATTATATTTAGGTTCAAACATTTAGTACTTACTTCTTACATATTGCCCTATCTACCTAGCACTAGATCTGTCATTTGGCTCTACCAATGGGCACCGTTTAACAAGGGAAGGGGGATGCCTATATTTAGTGCATCTATGCAGTTACCTACGTGGAAAGTAATCAATCGTCGAAGTCATAAATCACTGTTCGCGCAGGCAGATAAACAAGCTACTGTTTGCTTGAGTATTTTATAGCTTTTGAATAAACAAGTTGGTGATTTACATATCGTTTTGTAAGGCGAAAAGAAGGGTTTAAAGGTAGGTATTTATGGAATAAATTTAGTAAGTAGATACGTATGCTGTGGCTGTATAAAGATGATGCGGAACGAGATAAGTTTGTGATATTTTTTTACATTCCGAAATCACTGTATTTTTTAGATTGTTTTGTTATTTTTATGGAATAGCGTTGCCAAGTGAATTGCGACTGTATTAACATTAAGTATAAATTATGTTGTTGGCACCTCGGCGTCCTCGCCGCGTGTGAGTCGCGTCACGTCGCGCCACCCAACGTGGTACTCCAGCTTGCGTTCTTGCGACTAATAACGCGAAACCGGCGCGAGCAGTGAGCACGAACTCTTGCCTCGTAAAGCGATGCTCGTTACTTTTATAAAGGTGCTCTTTTTATTCATTCTGAATATTAATGAAAGTGCTTCAATGTAAACGTCTGCGCTTACTGTGCGCAGTAAACCTCTGAATGTTGATGTATTTTTTTTAAGAAATAAACGAAGTTATTCCAGAATATAGGAAATAATAATAATAGTCCGCATAGGTAGTTGATGGAAAGACAATATCTAGAGTATTAAGTTAATTATTGTTCCAACAGTTATAAAAATAGTTCATTGCCTTTTTCGTCGCACCCGTCTAGGGAAAAGGGGCCGTATTTTAATATATTTTTAATTAAATATCATTAAAGTGATACAGAATATACCTAATACACACAATATATGTTACAATGCGCTAACTTTTAGGACGACTCCAAGCCAAGCGCAGTATAAACATTAGTTCTAAAAATACTTACGCATACATACACAGCGACACTCGCCGCTTCCTCGCGCCATTTCAGGACGTCTGGGCCTGCGCGATTGTGGTTCGGTTATTATGATGTACTTACAGTGTTATGCACGAAGGGTTTATGTTATTTTATGTTACACTTCTGTATTCGAACCTGATTTCATCAATCACTTAACGTTTGAATAAATACGTATATCAAAGTCAAGGTTTAATGTTAAAATTAAATGTTTAGTATTTTCAATAACACGATTCATACGATCCCTTTCACACCCCACTCCGGTCCACTAAACATCTTTTCAGTTAAACAAATTCATAAATTAATTCACTTCTAGGATCACAATAAACAATGGCGGAACAAGATGAAGCGAGGGCGCGGAGTGACGACGAGGACACCGACGGCAACAACTCAAGTTCTGAAGTTCCGAAGACAAGTGGCTCCAAGTCTGTGGTGATGCCGTGCACTTCCACGACGGATTCCATGGGACGAGAGTACTCTGAACCAGTCACTTTCACGTATTTTACTGATGAAGAATCTAATGAGAGTGAGGATCAGACGCGGTACCTCACAGTTACCTACACAGCTGAAGATACTGCAGAGGAAATCGCCACAGCCACCCTCATCATCAAACGAAAAGACCACGTTGACCAGTTCTTGCCTTTCGTCGGAGCCCTACTCCGCAGTATTCAGGACGAACAAATGAAAGTGAAGCTAATGGAAGATATATCTCAGATTCTGATTAATGCTAAGACAGAGGAAATACAGAGGAGGCGATATCTATTATAACTGGTCGTTTTATTTCCCTTTTTTGTTGCCCTGCTCACGTGTTCTTGATATCTTTGGTTCATTATCTCAAATATTGTAGAATTCCCTTGCACACTTAAGGCTCTACCCAGACGAACCGCATTTCAATAGCAAATTGCAGTACGAATGTAGTATGAACGCAGTTGACATGACTGTAATAGAACTGCATTTAGACTCCACGTTTAGTTTGCAGCTCAATGTCAGTCGTGACACGACTTGAAACTGTAATTTGCAGTTGCGACACAGTCCCTCAGACTAAAGCCTTAATCAATGATTTAATAAGGTTTAAATAAATAAAGTTTACACTAAGATTAATTTAATGATTTTAAAAATAGCTTGTATTTTCAAATATATTATACCACTTAATTGATTCACTTTGTAATCACATTTTGTTTACTAACAAATCTATTTTCATTCAAATCACGCAAACATTTCTTTGTGGAGAGTTAATTGAAATAGATTCGTGTGATAAGAAATCTGACAATCGAATTGAATTGATTGATATTTTGATTAAATTGAACGATATTTCAATAATGTTATAAATTATTACTTAGGTATAGGTTAGATATAATGGAGGCAATAAAAAATAAAACAGCAAATATATCGGCAACCATTTATTCACAAGTCGCCCTTGCTCAGTAGCAAAGTTGTCTTTAAACCTATATAAACCTAATTATACAATAGATCCTGCGTCGCGGCCAACAACAAACCAACGGAATACCAACTTGAGGTTACATGCGTTCCTCTACAGCCGAAATTGAACCTTGATCCCATCAATTTAAGACAGCAAATAGGTAAAACAATGAAAAATAAACATGATTATCTGCAATTTTTAAATAATTTATGTACAGCAAAGTCACCTTTTGGTAAAATGAACTGAACTAAAATTATAAATAAATAAAAATAGACAAATTCTTAAAAGAAACTTCTAGAATATTCCTACACATAACATCAAGTTGTGATACCCACAACAACACATCGTATTTAATCATCATTTACATTTTTTACATAAACTTAAACGCCATGAGGACAATCCCGCCAAAATATAAACTAGAATACAAGAAGCTTTAAGAGATTATTAACAATAGACTACAGAGTCTAAATTATATTAAAAAAGCTATGCTTTAACACAAGTCATGGTGTTAATCCTAATTCAGTATATAAGGGAGCCGAGATAATTAAATACAAAACATAGCGATGCTTTTGACAAACATAATATTAAGTACACACACTTCACGTCGACCTATACAAAACCAGTATATCAGGATCTCGATTTATCACGACCTTTCCGGACATTCAACGATTACTTTATACTAGTTTATATAGTTTGGCGCCGTATGTACAAACAATATACGATACGTTAAAATAATGTGGATTAATGCGACTTTTTTGCAATTTTCGTTTAATTTTTCGATCAGATCGTGAGCAGCGTGCGCGGTCGCGGCGACGTCGCGCAGCTGACTGTAACTGTACTGTAACTAGTAGAGCTTTTCTCAGTATATTCACGTGAGTAACCCGCGATTTTAGTTAAATTTAGTATGTTTCACGATAGTTATTATAAAAACAATTACATAATTTTTGTTGAAACTCTCGGTTACAAGTTCGAGTATATTTACAAGTGTATAATTATATATCAACTTATTTTTTTCGATACTTTATCGATATAATTTGGGAAGAAAATGTCCTGATCAAAATATTATGCTAAAAAAGAAATTCGCATTAATACACTTGTGCACAATGGTGGATAAAATGCATAGCGAAATCCTAGCTTCCTGTTTGTCTCTATAACAAATTATTTTATTAAACCACGCTAATAATAAATAATTATCTCAGCTTAGGCTTCGGAGATATAAAGCAGAAATTTTATTTTACCACGAAAGTAATATAAAAAATGAAAGTTTTACTTTAACAGTAAATTCGAAATTGACAAGAAATACTACATTTATAATGAAGTTATAATCAGTAAAATAAATATAATTGCCACAAATATACTCCGAAGCCTTAAACACAATAAAAATAATTTAAAAACGCCACTAAACCATGAAAAGGAAAATCTACGACACATGTGCTTTATATAATCTGTGACCAAATGCCACACCCACTCTCGTGATTGGCTTATTACACGTTTAATCAACCAATCAGATGAGAGAATGACATTTGCACAGATTATAAAGTCATGTGTCGATAAATTAACTTTTTTCTGAGATCGTGATTTTGGTTATAAGCTCAGGCGTGTTGGTTAAATGTTGAAAATAATATAATCCCGCAATTAATATAGATATTTTCATAGCCCACGCGGTATTCCTATAACCGAGGTACTGCGGTGTCTCGTTCAAACGAAATATAGGTTCATAATGATAAAATTGTACATAGAACATTATTGTAGGTACATTATATTTGCGATTAGTTGTCTAAAACTAACTACCAAGCAAATGAAATGACCTGGGAGTAAAATACATAATCATTCACGCCTTTTTAAATCCTCGAAGGCGTAAACAGAGGTACATAGCACATACCCACTTTTCGCTTTTATGATACCATTTTTTGAAGAAGTAGGTGGTAAATAACAATACAAATTCACGATTATATTAAGTCTGTCCAAGACACCGCCGCCCCACGTACACGCAAGCTTGTACTTCGCATATACAAGTCTAAAAAATAATATATTTAAAACATTGCCACATAATTTTACTACTAATTAAATAAAACCAACGTTTAATTTGGAAACTAGACACATACATTTTATATTAAAATAAATTGCTATTAAGTAACAGTGACTGTCAAATTTCGAACCAAAATAAAAAACAATCACCCGAACATAGTACCTCCTCCTTTTTTTGAATTCGGTAAAAATGATAGAGAAGAATTACTTTTTGCAGAAAAATAGTTCTTACCTTAATTTCTTGCAGACTTTTAATTACCTATTATGTATTTAATTTAAAATCTATGTGTCTAGTTCGCAACTAAGCATTCCCTTAACAGTTTGAGAGTAGAAAAAATCGCTACATTTAGAAGCAACTTCAACTGCTGTCAAACTGTAATCATTGCACATCTAATATAAAGAATCCTCCATATCAAACTATACATAACAAGTTTATCGTGATCATCATAACATAACATCACGCCTTTTTATACCCGAAGGGGAAGGCAGAGGTGCACATTACGGCACTTAATGCCACTGTACAATGTAACACCACCTTTTCACTATTTATGTTATGAGTCCCATGTAATAGGGGGTGAGCCTATTGCCATATACCGGGCATGATTCCAGACTCCGTGCTACTACTGAGAATTTTTTAAAAGACCCAGTAATATTTTGCCCGACCTGGGAATCGAACCCGAGACCCCTTGCTCGGCAGTCGCACTTGCTCGCTCTATATAATGTTTCCGCAACATTTAATGGTCAGTTTACAATGGCATTGCCTAGCTTGATGTGCAAGTTGTGTGTGTTCAAGACTTCTTACATAATTCTCTTTAAAAATATCTTAAAATTCCTTACTTTTTAGCCTTAAAAGTGACTCAGTCTTCATCCTAACATTATTTGACGAACGATATAATTTTAATTGTAATCTTGGGAATCACTTGGTATTTCGTGGCTTCTCTATACAAAATATCGCATGTCAAAATTACTTTTTTTTTGATAGATTTTCAACTTTATTGTCGAAGTCATAATGTCGAAAGTTAGAACAGAGACAGTAGCTATTGTTATGCTAAATTGAATGCTTTTAAATGAAACTATTGGTCAACTCACGGCCGAAATTCTTAAGCGACCAAAATCCAATATAGCTTGATCAATTATTTGACAAAAAGTCTATAGAACTCTCAATTGAAAGATTTTGCATTCAGATGAGTACTTGATTCCGGTCGTCAGAAGTCTATCAATAGATACTGTCTCTATACTAAATCAACCTTAATTTTCCGACCTGTTGCTGTAGCTAGATGCCATTAGGGTCTACTTTTAGAGTAGAAAACCAAATTATATGGAATTGACGTAAATTTTGACACTCGTCAGTGTCATCCCCATACATTTAGTTTTCCACTCTCTCGGTGGACAAGGGCTTAACCCTTTTGAATACCGTCATTATAGACACAATTAAAGAACAATAGGTGTGCGGACACCGGTGCCCTCGCGGTGTTTGACAGTTTAAGTGGCGTTTGGCTACCTTTAGCATACGGAATACACATAACTATTGAAGTGAAAGATACCTAATATTAGATGTGCAACTAAAAAACGAAAAAAGAAACCACTCTAAAATAAACCACGCCTCTTATGACCATAATATAAATCAATTTTAGGCACTGATCACTATACCTTAGAGAATATTTACAAGTCTTATCAATAAAACATTTTAATATAATCATATAATATGTATTTTCTTTAATAAAAACTATTAACTTCCCATAATAGTTTATTCTAGTACTTCATTTACATTGCTGGGCTTTTCAAATTGGTGTTTCAAAGTCTTGTTGTTAGAAAAATATATCTATTTATGTATGTACGCGAATATGAGGTCTATGTAAGCGACTTAAGACACATTTTTAGAATACGGTGTTCTGGAACTATGTTTTGTAGATAGTTGAATAAAATTTATTTAGACATGTTTCGCTCTCGTGAACGAAAATGTTGACATAATTATTTTCTTTAGCATCAATTTATTGGATAGATGTTTCGATATTAGGGAATAACAAAAATCAATTGTTAATTGTTATAACTAAAATCGTAGACTTCCATCTCTTTTGTACATAACCTGTTAGTTAGAGATAGCAATAGTTTGAACCAAAATCAAATGTCTATTACCTATCAAAAGTAATAAACGTAAAAACTTTAGACTATTTATTTTTATAACCGCAATTAATAACGAATCTCAATGCAAAATATCTTGATCGATCTAGATTTTTGTGCAGGAACTCTCTTTTTCTTTGTACGTTGCTCCACACTACGATTTTAGTCTTATGTTGTGGATGTGTTTACAAACATACAAGTTCACATACACATGCCACCCAGATCCGGACCAACAATTTGTGGATTACACAAAGAGTTGCTCCTTGCGGGAATCGGACCCGCTACACGTTGCGCGGTAGCCGGTTGCCCAGCCAACGCGCCAACCGTGCAGAACCATATAGAACTAGTGTCAAAAATATACACCAATTCAAAGAATTTGTAGAGATTCATTAATAATTACGGTTTATACGGTCTCAATAACATTTTTATCAGTAGATTTATCACTCAAGAAAGATATTTAACATTGTGCAATGTTAAAATTCTATCTCCAGTGAACAAATCTATTGACACACAGGTTATCAAGACTAGCTACTAGCCCGGTTATGTCTGGTTAACTAAGCAAGCATTTTGTAAAGTATATTGTTAAAAATAACTCATGAATTACCTAACCCGCAGTATATATTATGTACTATATTGTAACAAGTACCGGCTGGTACAATAATCATTGTTTTATCTAAATATTTACTGATTTAGTTACTTTTCTTGGTAACAGTGCGCATAGGGATCTTATTTAGAGGTCTTTGACTGGATTTAGGTGTAGCATTGTTCTCACACAATCGAACCAACAAAACTATGTAACTACACAATTGTATTGTAAACCCGATTGAAAAGGAGTAACCTATGGAGTTTCTTGCTCGTTCTTCTCCATAGGAATCTACACCTTGAGATGAGCAACTAGCTTCACTTCAAAATTTTTGTTATTGATACTCAAAAGTGCCTTCCTGGTCTAGTTTAATTAAATGACTTTGACTTTATTTTTTCTACATGTTATTCCGGACCGGACCATAATCTGTCCCAGTTCCAAATTTCTATCGATTCCATTAGCCGTTTTGATGTGTAAGTAACACATACACATTCACATTTACAATATTGGTAAGATATAGGGCGGCAAACGAGCAAACAGATCACTTGATAGTAAGCAATCGGCGGCGCCCATTACATAAATGTACTTTCTAAAATTTATTTAAACATCACCAACATACGGTGAATGTAAACGTCGTGAGGAAACCCGGACTAACATTTTAGGAATGACTAAGCTAATTAAAGCGTAGTGTAGTAGATGCCTTTACTTTTTCAGTGTAAGAACAGGCTTTTGTTCAGTAGTGGACATTTAAGGGCTGGTGATGAAAAAATTATATTCCCCAAGACCCCAACAAGTTACCAAGAGAAATTACAAAATCAGTGTATAACGATTGTATACTAAATAAATATAATGTATAATATAATAAAATATAATATACTAGTATAATATGGTAGATATCGACCGCTGTGAACCCCTATATACTAATATTTATGTACACAATATATTCTCTGCTACTTCTAATTTAAAATATCTTTGTAAGGCGATATATGGGATATACTGGTGTTGAATGCTGGGCTTGGAGTCACTAGGGGACTAAATATACAATTCAAGAACCATTAATCCATGTATGTAAATAATATTGATAACACATTTAAGATATCTAAATTATGTTTATTACAACATGGCTATTTTTGTATAATAAGCATCGTGAGACATACGATATCAAATATATGGCTTACTTAAGTAAACTATTTGAGCAGTTCTTCTAGTTTGAAGTCACATCGGGACTCTTATACATGAGTAGCGTGCGCGGTGACTGCGCGCAGCCCACTGACCGTCGGTTAAAGACAGTTTGTGTTATCAATGGCCCACATATTGCTGTTATTATCCCCCAGTGTATTCAAAGCCCAGTATGTAATAATTACATGTCTAATATAATATGAGCCGGCTATCTTATTGCTTGCGTTAACCTTACAACAGGTATAGTTCAACTGTGTTTAATACAAATGTATCTTTGTTTTCAAAGGCTATGTTTCAGCTACATATAGTACAATATACTATGTATCTCTATTACCACATCTCACAAAATAGATTTCCCTATAACATTGGCCAACTACATATTATTAATCTGTTTAAAATCTAATAACATAACGAAGTTTAGTAAATTATAAACATTTTAAAGTTCAATTCCAAGCTAAAATGTTATTGTTTATAGCTCTTTTTTTGTCATCGAGGGCGTGAGTTAGTGTGCATTAATGTGTATAGTTTCCGGGCTGGTTACAACAATATATAGTTTTATATCTAGTGATATAAGTATGTACACGGTAAGTAGGTATGCTTACATAGGCAGTGTCGTGCGCTACTGGAAGTCCGCGAGGGACTGGCGCCAGGTCGCGTGGAACGGGATGCGGAGCAACTTCAGTTTGGTATGGGGGAGTTGTTGCGATAGGAGGCGCTGTAGCGTCGGCAGGGGCAGGATCTCCACCTGCGGGGGCCCGGTGGGCCCGGCGTGGTCCGCGGGCAGCTTGCAGCCCGGCACGGGCTTGAGCACGGGGATGCACTCGCCCACGTCGCGCCGCTTGGGCTCGCCCGCCTGCTCGCACTGGTCGATGAACAGCTCCGTGACGCGCAGCAGCTCGATGGTGACGCCCCACATGAGGTGCGTCAGCGACGCGGACAGGCGCAGCACGCCCGACAGCACCTGGCGGTTGGTGGTGGCCGACTGCGACACGTACGTGGGGATGATGAGCAGGCGCTGCACGTTGCTGCAGGCCGCCAGCGCGTCGTCGAAGCCCGGCTTCACGTCGATGTTGACCAGCTCCAGCCGCGTCAGCAGCGGCCGCGTGGCCAGCGCGCGCAGGATGGCGGGCGCGGCGCAGTGCGGCGTGCCGCGCTCCAGGCGGACCCGCCGCAGCCGGCCCAGCCGCGCCAGCACGCCCGCGAACGACGCGCCGAACGTGCACTCGCCCAGCTCCAGGGACTCTAGGGACTCTAGGGAACCGATCACGTCGCAAGCACACCATCCCAATTCCTGTAAAATATTTCCACATTTACAACTACCAATTTCAATTAATAAATAAAAGGGATATCTAATGAGAGATATAGTAGACAGGATGAACTTGTAAAAGTTTATTACTAATTTAAAATAGTATAATAGTCAAAACGACTTTAATTTCCATATCTATCATCGGTTATAACTTGAAGAATCTAAAAATGATAGAACTAAATTGCACACACCTTGATGCTGGTGAGCGACAGGTGCTGCAGCTTGGTGAGCGAGGCGAGATGGCGCAGGTCCTGCGTGAGCGAGAGGCCGGCCATGCTCTTGAGGCGCAGCTCGTGCAGTAGCGGCAGGTCGGCGAGCGGCGCGGGGTCGAGGCGCGCGTCGCGGATGGCCAGCGCGGCCAGCGCGCGCAGCCCGGGCAGCCCGCGGCACACCGCCTCCACGGCGCGCGCCGGGCAGCGACACATCTCTATCCTGCGCACAGATAACCAATCTATATACTACGAGTATACAAAATCACAAAAGATCATACCTTTTTATCAGTACACTAAATACTAAAAAATACATTATCGCTGCTCAAATCGATATAAATAATATTCAAAATCAAAGAAATGTAATACACAACTTTCTTGTTGCATTAGTACCTGATAGCATACAATAAAAACTACATAATATGTATTAGAAAATTGAATAACATTCAAGCTTTAAGCTTTAAGCAAGGACTTTATGCTTTAAACTCTACCCTAAAACTTAAACTTTAAGATGTAACTACAATTACTACTTACAAATTACAACGAAACAAGACACTATAATTAACGTCTCCATAAACAATATTAATTTGATTTTTTCCGACATACCTCTCCAGCGTGTCGACAGTAGAAATGTGTTCAGCGAACTGTTCCCAGAAGACGGTATCGTTCTGTGGCAGTAACATCTTGCGCAGGTCTAGTCTCTTCGTCCCGTGCCGTTTGAGCGCTGCGCATAATCCTCCCCAGTCACTCACCTAGAATATAAAGCAAGCAATTAATTTTTTTCCATAAAAACTGAGATTTTGAAGAAGGGAATATGCACGACATAGGTTAATTTATACGGACAAAGCCGAGAGTAGAAAATAATTTTAAGAGCAAAACTCGTGTATAGCTTAATAATGTCATCATCTACAGCCAATACAAGATGTGAAACCATTACATAAAAGGAGTACCATAATCTCCACATCTGGTGAATTACACTGTTTAGAGAGGTTAAGTTAGTGTATTGACTGACAAATCCCTATAATGAATGGACTTACATGTGAATTCTTCATCCTGACATGTCTCCAGAGCGCGGGTGTAGCAGACAGTTGCCGCCACAGCTTGCACACGCGCGCGCAGTGTGCCAGGTCGCGCATGCCCAGGTACTGGAAGATCTGGAATATGGACATAGTACATTGTTTTATGGTGCTTGTAAAAGATTTGTTGAAAGGATTGTTTTCTTCCTAGTCGATTCCCTCACTGCTGAGGACCGTGACTCCCTTTGATTTTGCTCACTAGATGTCGCCACTTATTTCGTTCCGTTGCATGGTGCATTGCAACATTCATGCATTGAAGGGATGGTAATTAAATTTGTGATAAAATAATAGACTGTTTATTTCAAATGGTTATAAATTTAAAATCAACTAGAAAAGAAGTTATGACCTTCAAATGTCAATTATGAATCATGACAAAACACTAGAGCAGAATCGGTAAATCCATTAGGAGCTCTGGCCCTTCTACTAATACTAAGTTAACAAACGCCTAGTTCTTTTTAAGATAAGGTTTTTCCAGTTTAGTGATACTCCTTACAGTATTATAAGGTTCTTTAACAATGTCTCTACATACCTGTACAACAACATTGTAGTTCCTCTCCTGCGCTTTGTTATAGAAGGCAGTGAAGTGGTCGGTATCGTCGGCTCGTTGTCGCCCGCGACGTCGCGGCGACATGGTGGCGGTGGGCGGGGACGACGCGCCGTTGGCCACGCGACCGCGTCTCTTGTCGTCACTGGGGACAAAATTGTAATTTAATATGTTGCATGATAAGAGCTTGGTGAAGAGATACTTTGGTCCACCATTGGATACATTGGAGTTGATAACTCGTATCATGATGTAAACTTGTTGATACAGTAATTATGAAAATATTGTTTATTACACTGGTCAACAAAATGTGTTTTTTTTTTGTTGTTAATGAAACAATATATGTTAACATTAGAATTGCATATAAAACGAAATTAAAAATATTTTTAGAAATTGCATTTCACACAAAATGCATTTCTTTTTTAAAGATATCAATTTTATTGTCGGTTGGGCATCAAAGAGCCTTTTTTAAGAAACCTGTTAAAACTGGTTAGGAAACTCAAATTGAAGACAACAGATGAAATAAAAAAAAGTTATGTACATACCTTATCCTTGTATAAAAACGTTCCGGTATACCGTCAAATCAAAACGTAAAACGCATTCCGACTTTTTTATTGTTCACTCTTTTAAACTTTTGATACATTCCTTTACATTCAGTATTTAAAATAAATAAATTAAAATAACCACTATACGTAGTCGATGTGGTCAAACCACAAGTAGGGTAAGGATAAGCAAATTTAAATGTTATTACTATTGACATAAAGACCAAATTGACTTGAAAAATATCTTCTTTATAATATAGTAGAATATTATACCTTGTTTTGTACAGAGTAACATCTAAATTTGCTTGGCAATGTTTGGAATCAAAAGATCAAGCGAAAATCTCAATGTAGAACAATCATATTTAATACATAAAAATACAATTAAATTAGAGATTAGCGCTTGAAAGGGATACAAAATAAACAAAACCATCCTCTTTTAAGAGGTTGGTTTAAAGCAATAAGAGAATTAATTTACTTGAGAAAACTTACAATGTTAATTTTATAAAATAATGTATGGTTCGCCATGACATCATGGCCCATATGACTATATACATTAAACATAGAGGCATTATAAATAGAGAAAGGAAATAACAATTCAAATTATTACAAAGAATTCAAATAAAGAAGATCAGCAGCTGTAGCCAAATGCCATTTAGCGCTTGTCTACATGTAGAATAGAAGACCAAATTATATGGAATTGACGTAAATTTTGACACTTGTCAGTGTCATCCCCATACATTTTGATTTCTACTCTCTCTGTAGACAAGCGCTAAAGTGGCGTTTGGCTAGAGGCCCAGGTGGTGTATTATGACGTCTTAAAGCTAGACTGGTTCCGTTGAGGGAACGAGATCTCGATAGACGACTTGTATAGCTCTGTTTCTTTCCCTCAATGCAGCGATTCTGACTTTAGAACGTCATAATAACCTCGCAGATGATGATTTCCAAAGACATTGGTAAATAAGAATTCTATACTCGCAACTCCTGCGTATGAAATCATAGACAAAAATGAACCCAGTGAAACAATTCGACAGATTGAAGTTTTAACATGCATAATACGTATTCTTGTAACCATTCGACGTGTCTCTAACCCTATGTATAGATAGATACCTCTATGACTCTAAAATGGTGATGTAGTCACTAAACATAGTTTTTGTTGTTAAATAAACACAAGTGGAGTACCTAATGAGATTTAAAGACAATTTTATATTAAGTAGGTACACTGCAAATAACAGCCGAATCCAAAATTTGTGGTTTAAAAATTCAGACATTTGGGATCACACAAAAGCAAAAAATATACATATACCATACATTTTCCAGTACACTTATGTTTACCGGCAAATATGTGGATTAAACTAAACTAACCTAACTTAAATTTAGCCGACTTTGTCCTGCTCAGTATTGCATATTTGTATAAACTATAGTCATACATTTAGTACACATTTACGTTCCACAAAATGAATTAAGAAAATTATTAAATTAAAAAAGCTTATCTTAGAAAAATGGAAATCAAGTTGGTCTACATCATATTGAAACAATTTTTTTTAGTGAATGCATAGTTATAGCATAATATCTGACACCTGAAACATGTTTTTGTGTCTTAAATCTAGAAAAAAAGTGTAAAATAAATATAGATATTGTTATCTTTTCCTATTGCTTTATTATTGCACACAAGAATCGCATTACAGGTGTAAGATATTGCGATAAAATGAGTCGGTTAGTTTATATGCTGTCGGTTAGATAATAGTTTATATGTTGATATATCGTACCGAAAATCCCCAAAATTTGTTCATACAAAAGTAGTCTCTAAACATCGGAAATAAGGTCTTTAATGGAGATAGTGGAGTGTGGTCACCGGTGATCGGTTGAGGATTGAACAGTCAACTAAAGAAGATTTGTAGTAACCTTTTTTGAATCAATCTTTTAGAATATCTATTTGACAAATAAACATATCTTTATCTAATAACAAGGCATTATTTATGTATGTTTAAGCCATACAAGTACACGGTCTGAATTATATCTAAAATATATTTTTTTATATTTCTTTGTTGTAGTACAGTATGTTAACAAAATTTTCAACATGTAATTTAGCACCTGTTTTCACTTAAGTTTTGGTTAACCCTTAATTGGGATATGAAAATCACCAGCACATTAAAATACCTGCAGAAAATAGAAATATTATTCTTTAACATTTGGATGGATCATCCAATTAAAGGCTATTTCACTTTAATTGGCTAGTTTCCTAGGTTTAAAATAAATTGTTTCAACTTTTCAATGCAATAAACAATTAAAAAATAATCATACTATCATCCATTGATTTGACAATTTACCTACTTTCAGAGTTTTTCTCGCTAATTTTAAGCAAATAAGTATGCTATTTGACGCAGAAATACGATGACGTCATAAGTTGTTGCGATCCAATACAAAATTCAAAGAAAAGTATCGTTTTTGATATTTTAATAAATGTATTGATTTTGACTACCTGTCAACGACCGTAATCGCGCATAAGTATAGTTCTGTCACTAACAATTCTTTGTAAAATGACATAGATGGCACGATATTTAAGTACAATTTAAAATTGTGTAGCCATTTAGTATTCGGGCGTAAGTGACAGTATGTATAGACATTGGGCTGCATTCTTGTTTCAGAGTACTCTGTCGTTATATTCAGTTTAAATTAAGTATTTTTGGGCCCTATTCAGGGTTAACATGTGTTCCTAGCCTTGTGTAAAACCTATTGTAAAGCTATGTATTTAACGTTCACAGTCTTATTATTATATAAATAAACTACCTCATTATCATACCATATGATTACCGAGTTTTTAAAAGGCTGATTTGAAAATTAAGAATTTCAATAAAAGGACGAATTTTAACTCCTGTATTCTCTTTTTACACAGCGAAACACAACACAAGCATTGTTTCACGTCGGTCTGTGAAGCCATGGTATCACTGCGGTCGAGTCAACCCATTCTTGCCAAAGCATGGTTCTCCCATGTTCATGTTAATAAATGTGTCTTTGCTAGCAAATTGTTTTCTCATTACATAACATCATGTCTTTTATCCCCGAAGGGATAGGCAGACGTGCACATTACGGTACTTAATGTCACTGTACCATGTAACACCAACTTTTCATTATTAATGATATGAGTCCCCATGTAATAAGCAGCTGTAGCCAAATGCCATTTAGTGCTTGTCTACATGTAGAATAGAAAACCAAATTATATGGAATTGACGTAAATTTTGACACTTGTCAGTGTCATCTATTGTCAGTATGCATGTGTGAGCACCATGTTAGACTTAAGATTTTTATTTTATTTTATTTTAGTAAGTTATTAGTATAATGCGTCAAGCGTGTCTTTGCATTGTTCTTACATATGCGTACAGTATTGAAATATGTATCAGAGACATTGTAGAACATACTTTTTTAAAAGAGTAACGAATGGAGTTTCTTGCTCGTTCTTCTCCATTCGAATCTACGTTTTGGAATGAGCACCTAGCTTCACCTAGCTTCACTGACGGACTGACTGACAGACTATTATTTATTTTGTATTTGTTGACGTTTCAAAAGTACCAAACTATGGTTTAATTGAAATAAATGCTTTGACTTTGACTTTGACTTTGACTTTGACTTTGAAGAGAACCTAACGGGTAACCGGGGCTCCGGCTCGACGTGCAGGAGAAGGAACGGGGTGGTTTTTAGTCAGTAAGAGTCTGACACTCCCTCCCGCCTCACCCAGGCGGGAGCAGTCAATCGACGATTTCCCCCCCCCCAAAAAAAGGTGTTTTCTCATTCTTGTTATATGTAACAAGTCAATCAGCCTTTCTAAAACAAAGTAGGTTCAATTTTCAATTCTGCAGTGTCATTAATTACATTATAAAACTAAATTGTGATTCGAAACGTGTTTATAAATATTTTTTATTAACTATACATAATTATGTGCGAATGTGTGGACTTAGTCTTAGGCACTGGGGCACAATCAGCGTTATAACTATTTTATATGTTTAAATTATAAATGCGTATGTATTAACTTCTTCGTTAACCTATCGAATAGTTAAGAATAAATGGCCTATATCTATAAGTTGGTTCCTTTCTTAAGATATTTCATTAAAATATATTATTGTGAGTAATATTTGAGATAATATTGCCATGTTAAGATACATTTTACTTGTCATAATCAAATATTTGTAATGTTCTGTAACAAATAAGTGAGAACTACGCCTAATTGTAAATTGTATTTCGTGCATCCGCTGGAAAAATATGACCAATCGCATGCTGTATTTCATGCATGCTTAGAAAATTTCCATCAAATTTAGCATACGAAGAGTTCGTTTCAAACACGATTTTGAACTCATTGCCTTAATTTTCATACCTAAAAGAAACATACTCGAATTTCAAAATACCTAGCTAAAAATATGCCTTTATAATGTCAAATACCAGCCTAGACTTCAAAAGTGCATATTCTAACACCTAACTATGAATCCCTTGTAATAATTCTGTCGTTACTAGTTTTAAATCTATCTACCTAAACTATTTGTAATGATATCGTACAATAATATAGCTTCTGCCAGCGACGTCGCCCGGGTTATTAGGAAAAAATCTGCCCTATGTATTATTATAGACCATAATCTACCTGTGCACCAAATTTCATTCAAATCTACTCAGTAGTTTTGGTGTAAAAGAGCAACAAACGTACATATACTTTCACATTTATAATACATATTAGTAAGATACCTTCTCCGTGAGAGAAGAGGCCTTTGCTCAGCAGTGGCCATTTATAGGCTGATCATGTGAAGGTAGTGTAATATAAATAGATAGTAATATTGTATCATTTAGCTGTGGGTTGCACCATGTTGCGCGGGACGACGACGAAGCGCCGTCCGTTGAGGACTGCCAGGCTCTGTGGTAGCGCGGCGTGCGGGGCCAGCGCTCTACTGGCCAGCGGCGGGGGCGCCGGCGCGGGGGGCGGGGGCGCGGCGGG